GACGGTACCGTTTCGGCCTTTTGGGCCTCATCAGTGTAGTGCTGATGAGCAGGATGAAAGTAACCACTATAAATAGTTAGCTTTGATGTCTCACGAATGTGGGACATCAAACCATCAAACCATAGATATATATATATATATATATATATATATATATATATATATATATATATATATATATATATATATATATATATATATATATATATATATATATATATATATATATATATATATATATATATATATATATAGGAATCATCAGGTGGTGAATAATTTCGAAATTGTAGGTTGCTTTTATGCTATCGAAAGAATGTGCGGAATGCGTGTAGGCGAAACAATGCTTAGGTGAAACAATGCATGCTTGGGTCATTAGGTTTTGTTAACGACCTTGTTTACTCAAAACCGGTTTTTGTGACGACATTTGCCGAAAATTTCGCTTCTTTTATTGAGTAAATTGTCTTTGTTTATGTCTTTCAAAATGCAAAATTTTTCTTCCAAACATAAATTGCAGCGTTTTGATCCCCCTGTGTACGAAATAGCGTGTTCTAAAATTGACCATTTGATGGTATAATCCTGATTGTTTTCTTTTAATTTCCAAATATGTTTCGAAAGTTCCGTTTTATTTGAGTCTTTTTTATGACGAAAAGATGAAGTGTGGTTAGCGTAACGTTCCTTAAATGTAGTCGCTGTCATACCAATGTAGTGTTTAGTGTCGTTCGTGTTGTTCGTTGTGACTGTTGCTTTGTCAATAATGTTGTTGGTCATGCATTGTTTCGGTAGTGGGCAAGTGTTTTTGTTGTCGCAGTTACAGTTGTCAGTTTCCGTATTCTGTGATTGACTGTTCCTAATTATATGTGCGTTGTGTTTGGTGATTATAGACTTAACGTTGTTCATGCAACTGTAGCTTACTTTTAAAGTGTTTCTGTTAAAAATCTTGTGTAGTTTGTGCTGTAGTGGGAAGTGTTTGTCAATTAAACTTAAGAATTCCCATCCTATGTTCGTGTTAATTACACTCTTAGGCCTGTTTTATACGTCGAATTTTGGTCGCGTCGAATGCAATTCAAACAATAGATAATGAAGCTTAATGAGGTATATCATCTCATTATCTATTGTCTTAATTGCATTCGACGCGACCGAAATTCGACGTATAAAACGGGCCTAACTAATGGTGGGTTGAATCAAATTATGTTGCGTTGCCTATTCCTACGTGTCCGTTGCGGTGCATCCTGAGTGTACGTAAATTCATGATCAAAGTTACTATGTGTAAGAGCGTTCTGGTAAATAGGTGCGGATTCCTTAAATGTTTTTTCGTCCGATGAAAAGTGCAATTCGTTTGTTGATAGCTGTAGGTAATTGTCTTGTAATGCTTGGTGGATGGTTTGAGTGCCTGTGTATGTACAATGGATCGTCATTGGGTTTCCTGTATGGTTTGTGTTTTGCGTTGATCAGGTCGAAAGTAACATCTAAAAAATTTACAACGTTCATATTTACTTCGGCGGTGATTTTAAGGTCAAATTGCTCGAAAATGTTGTGTAGCTCTTTTTTAGTTTTGTCTAGTAAACAGGCGGATTTGCTTTATATAATAGCCAAACCATCATCTCTATAAAGGCCGATGTTTTCCTTGCGAAACCTCTTACCTAAGTGATTTAAAATGAAAAGGCCTACCAGCTCACAAATTTCAGCGCCGTCGAAACTACCCATAGTGACGTCAAATAAACTGTTGCTTCCGTCTTTTTTGTCCATAATTTCCGGTGCCGAAAAGTAGAGATTTTCTTGCATGTTTTATTATTGAAATATCGTTTTCGGTAATAGTAGTCAAATCCGAAGCCCATGCCAATGCTTCATTGAAAAGTTTTTCGGAAATGGATGGGTAAAAATCCACAACATCAAATGAAATAAAACTGTGCCTGTCTTTATCGTTTATATTGCCAAACCATGAAATTACTTGTTGCGTATTTCTCCATTGATTTGAATTTAGTTTTTGTCTCAAATTGAAATTGATTTTATCTAAAATAACCTTACTTAGTTTTCCGGATTCGCTTTTTGCCGGATTAATTAGTCGGCATTTTGGATTGTTTTCGAAATTTTCTTTGTGATCTTTTAAAGATATAAATGCTTCGCGTTTTTTCATTCATTCAATTCTGTCGCCAATTCCTAACCTACTCGAAATTTCTTTCAATTCGGAGTCAATTTCATGTATGAAGTCCTCTGATCCATGTTTGTACGTTTTCGTGATGTTATCATGTAAGAGTTCGTTGTATGTGTTCAGTGACGTTTCGTAAATGTTTCTAGTTTTGTCCGCGAAAATGAAAATGTTAGGGGATGAATTAATTTTCTTCAAATCGTTAGCCAAAGATGTCTGAAATTGGTCTTTAGGACGCCGGAATTTTACGTTTTCAATTAGTTTTATCAAGTCGTCTTCGAAAGGTTTCAAAAGTGGAATTGAGGGAGGCGATTTGTTAGACGAAAGGCCGAAAAGGTTGCTTTGGTTTTGAGTCGTTGATCCTTTTAGGAAGAAATTAGCTTTCCATCTCATACGTTTTGTTACGCTCTCCACTTTTTCAATCAAATTCTTTAGGTAAGCATCCTGTGATGGTATAGGAATATTCTTTAGTGAATAATCGAATCGAAATTG